AAAACGCTACGAATTAATTCCAACACCTAATATTATAAGTTAAATTAGTTAAAAAACTCATGTAATAATGTTAACGATGATCTATTAAATAAGACATGTTAGCATCAAGATGTTCTGAGCATATGTAAAAAGTCAAAATCGATTATCGGTGATAATATAAGGGGAATAAATAAATACAAACATGTATAAACTATATAGGATAACCTAAGGAAATAAAACATGGTAATGTCAAATTTTTTTTAATAAATCATGATGTAATGAATCTAATAATTCTGTGCAATTTCTCCTGCACAGTCTGTTTTTTGTTTTTTAATAAAAATGAATTCTAAAATAAGGCGTTTATTATAATTCTAACGAGATTAATATCTCGGTTCGCAGGACAGAACGATGATTTTTTTGGTAGATTCTTTCGTTTCATGCAAATACACATCGGATATAATAACTCAATTTCATTGATTTTTGAGCTGCGGAAGCTAAACTATATAATTACCGAATTTTCTTGCTGCCAAATGTGTGTGCGCGACGCCAAAATAAAATATACACGTAAAATAGAAACACAATACTTGTCCATATAATTGTCCGAAATCGAATACTGCATTACATAATCACGTTACGAGATTAATAAGTTGCTGAGAATAAAGAAATAAATCTCGCATTTGATCGTTGAAGAAATCGAAATACACTTACCGGCATAAAACGGCTTATTGTTATATACATTTGAGAATGTTGGCATCGCGAAACCGCCTAACATAAGTACTATTTCCGTCGAGTACTTCGACAGCACACTGTGCTCATACGTGGGATCCGGTTTGAGCAGATCAAGAGCCCATTGAACCTCCGGATGTTCACTCAACTCGTGTGAATGATGTTTACTCATTTTTTTCTTTTATTGATGAGAATTACTACCTACGTATTAAAATCAACAATTAGGAAAACGCGGCGCTCTACTCAGAATATGTAATAATAAGTCAGAATGAATCGGTAGCAGACAGCGAAAATCCACGAAAACAACAAAAATCACAATAGAAGATTTTATGCGATCGAGCGAGATACGTTGATCGCAGCGACATCTGATGAAAAAGTATGGAAACTGCGACCCAGGGAATCGATTGTGTATCTTAAAACGAAGTGAAAATTACAAAAGTGAGCGAATTTGCTAGAATACTGATAATTTCATTGATCAACATCTAATAAATTTGCTCACTTTTGTACAATAATTTTCGCCTTGTTTAAAAATATAGAATCAACTCCCTAGTTTACATCGCACACTTGATGGCGCGATCCCATGCGGAATTAAAGTCACTAGATAAAAAAGTATTGCGATGGGAAAATTCATTGAATTTGGAAGCAAAATGGTGAATAGTTCAGATAGTACATTTCATGTAACTTCCTACACATTAAGTGCAATCCTAATCTGATTCTGTTATAATTTTAGCATTGGCTGCGTTCAGCAGAACACAATAATTTTGCAACCGTTTTATGATTCTCTGCTGAGATTGGACCATTCCTCTTGATCTAAAAGCATAACTCAATCAGCGCGAAGAAAACTTCCAACAGTCATAACAATGAATGTCAGATGTCGTAATGTGAATCTTATATTTCAAATGTATACGCTAGGTTCATTCGGAGCGACCCTGAGCAGCTCAGAGAGACAAAACGAACAATACTTTTATATGCTTTTGTGACTTTATGTAAACATAGAACTGATTACAAAACGTCAAAAATGCCCGGTTGCGGTATTGAGAATTGCAAAAATGCAGCGAAAGACGCTTTCGTTTAATTCGCGTGCCAACAGGCGATAGGCGTAAAGAATGGCTTTAATGAATTGAAAAAAAAACGTTATTGGAAAGGCTGTAATTTGTGAGGTATAATTTTTTATTTGTAAGGTTTTATTTTCCCTTCTACAATATGTATGTTTCGATCCGCAGAAATTTATTTTCCTATGTCCCATTGAAGCGGAACTTGCGGATGCGCAATCAATGTAAGCCAATGACGAATGCTATTCTAGTAGATCTAATGAAAGTGATTACGGGAAGACCCTTGCGATTAGTTAGAACTAACTGCGCATTCCGCAAATTTCGCTCAATGAGACATAGAAAAACACATTTCAGCGGAGCGGAATCGGCGGAATAAAGCCACGACTAATTACGCGTTTCGCCAACTCCGCATTACGCCAACTCCGCTAAAGTCACTAGATAACAAAGTACCGTGACTGTCACCATTTTGGCTCCATAACGCGCGGTTATTCAAAACTTATGTATGAATGATAAAAATTATATTATTGAATTTATATATATATAAATATATATACAATATATTTCTATATATGTATACATATGTAACATTTTTAAAAAAATTTTACATAGGAATTTTATATAATGATCTCCTATTTACTAATATTGGTATGTTACTGAAGCTACATTGGATGCGCATATGTCTGAAACCCGACCTCGGAGACTCCACAATAAAAGGAACAGGGAATTGAGAACATAAAATAAGAATTTCAACCTATCAGAAATCATGTATTGTAGAATACACAGTTTCTTATAGGTTGAAATTCTTATTCTCTGTTCTTTGTTCCCTGTTCCTTTAATTGTGCGGAGCCCCTAACAACACTGCGGGCTGATTGTTTCATCTTTTCGTAAATTTTACTTGTTGGGCAGCAAGATTACATATTAAGTAGCAAGATTAGTCAATCACATGCGCGGATTACCAGATTTACCTCACAGGTAAAATTTACCACAAGATGGAACAACCGATCCTAGGGGTCGATTCTGTATCTTCAAACAAGATGAAAATTACAAAAGTGAACAAATTTACTAGATGTTGACCAATGAAATTATAGTATTCTAGTAAATTCGCTCACTTTTGTAATTTTTATCTCATTTCAAGATACAGAATCGATCCTCTAAACTCGATTCGGAATTTCGGAATACACTCCACTTATCTCGTTGGTGTGAAATAAAAATTTTCACTTTTCATGTTTCCACTCTAGAGAAAAAGTTACATGATCGATACTGAGGATTCTCTCTGATTTGAGCGGTTCGTAAAAATGTGTATCTTTACGACTCATTTGAATAATCAGCTACGCTCATCGGTGAAAGAGAAATAATAAAAAAAGACGGCGATTGAGAATTAAAAAACATGCCTTCTCTCGTAGCAAGTAGAATCAATGTAAACAGCAAGATGATTGGTTTAGAAAGCATAAAGCAGTCTTGACTGTAGAACTCGAGCCGGCATTTCGTCTCGCTTTGAACTTCTCCGATCAATTTTGTCGTGAACCGCATCATGTGTAAAACGTAATTCTTATTTTTTGCTACGGCCGCGGACCTAAATCTCTAGTCGTGTTACATTTTTCGCTTGTGTCACAGTTAATGCGAGGGACACTATGGGCGATTTAAAACGCTCGATCGTCTTCCTTCGTGCTCATTTGTCCGGAATAAATGTCGTCTGATACGTATATTCACGTCAGCTTCCATATGTAAATAAGTGTGAATAAGTAACGCGGTGGATCAAGGCAGGCGAAGACGACCAGACTTTACTCAATCTTCTCTAGTAACGCACGATCTCGTAAAATATTGTCGTAGCGATGAAAATATCAAAGTCCACTATTGTTCTTCTGGTCCTGATGCTGATATTCTCCATCTTGATGGCGAATATAGCTGATTTGATCAGCATCAATCCTCATTTTCCAGATGAAACTTTGGGAGACAATAACGGAGAGATACAGTGGACCGAACCAAAGTATTATAACATAGCAAATTCATATAATCACTTAATATGGTTCCTACAGGTTTGTCTCAATGCTTATTTAGTTGACAATGTTCTGCAAGTTGCAGTTGTATTTTATGGAGATATATCATGATATTTTTATCTCTTTAGATAACTGATATACATATAAGTATCTTTAGGGATCCATCTAGACTTTCAGAGTTCAAGGAATTCTGCAATGTGACAGTAAATTCTATTCAGCCTAGAGTTGTTCTTGCTTCTGGTAACTTATATTTTACAGATACAAGATATAATATTCCATACTTGTGCTAATAAAGAAGTTGATTTAATAAAATATTTCATGCTTGTATTTTAATAGGAGATTTGACTGATGCCATAGTTAAAGATGGATTTGGTTCTAAACAAGAACATCGAGAATGGCAACATTATAGATACATAATAGACCAGACTAATGTCAGCAAGAAAGTTTTATGGTTAGATGTCAGAGGAAATCATGGTAAGAACAGTGTACATTCTAATTGCACATCTGCAAATTCATGTGTAGCAATGCTCACAAAGAAAATTATATGTTCTAAATGTGTTAATATATTTTCAGACAACTTCGACATCATCAATTTTGATTCCAAAAATAACTATTATTTATACTACTCTATTCAAGGAAAGAAACATCCCAGATCTTACATGTACAATATTGATACTGGTCTTGAAACATACTCCTTTATTGCAATTGACGCTTGCTTGAAACCAGGTCCTAAGAGACCATTTAATTTCATTGGTATTTTAGATCAGGATGAGATTAATAGGATACAACAGTTAATTAATCGGTCAAAGGAAAGCAATGCTGCTCATGCAGTTGTGTTTGGACATTATCCTACATCCAGCATAATATCAAAAGCTGATACAAATATCAGAAATATTTTAGGTAATATGCTTATATTTTAAGTTATAGAAATGTACTATATCTCTTTTTTTATGGAACTATTAGTTTGTGTTATAATTTTGTGAATTTGTTGTTAAAGGTAGTCACAAAGAAAGTATGGTGTATCTGTGTGGCCACTTCCATACACTTGGCAATATGGTACCCAACATGTACTCTTTACAAAAGGCGGGTTTCCTTGAGCTAGAATTAGCAGATTGGAAAGACAATAGAATGTAAGATGAATGTACTTTGATGTATTTAAAAATGACAGTTGTTCATATATAATAGCATTCATTGATTTTGTATTCTATAATGAATTGCACTGGTATAAATTTAAACATCAGTTGTCAAAAGAATGTTTTTGTACACAGATGATGAAGGTAGATATTCTTGGATATGGCATAGAAAAATGTAATTTTTAGTTATTGTAGCAATTAATGGTGTACAAACAAAATTGTACTTCTTAAATTCACTTGAAACTAATAATGAAACATTATTTCGCTATTCATCATACAAATATTCTGTTACTATATTAGTATATATGTTTTTTATTATTTTTTTAATTACGCACACACAAGCACGCGCGCGCGCACACACACACACAGGGTAAGGCATTTTAATCGCCCCAGGCGAATATCTAACAGACTAAGAGAGATACAAGAAAAAATTTTATATGAAAGTTGTAGGTTTTATTGGGGAAAGAAGATGGAAATAATGGATTTTGGATAGGGGGTCCTTTTCCATTACCAAAGTCAGGTCAAAGTCAACATGAATTTTTTAAATGGAACCCCCATTTTTTATTGTATATTCTTGCAGCACATCTCGAGAGCTTTTCAAAACACTATAATAAAATATTTTTTCGTTAAGTATTTTGCGAGTTATTAGAGGGCTCGAAAATTACAGTACCGCCAGCATTATCCAAGGTATCCAACCGGCTAAAAACCTCATGAATGTTGTTTAGGATCATGATCTGGATAACATTTGTCAAGATCAAGTCCATTGATGATTATTTCTTATTTTCATTTTTACGTAAAAATGAATTTTCAATGCAAAAATGATAATAATAAAAACAATCTCCAATGACCTTGATCAAATGTTATCTATCTAGGACATAATTCTGAACAATATTCAAGAGATTTTAGCCGTCGGTCGGACACCTTGCTAATGCCGGCGATACTGTAACTTTCAAGCCTTATCACTTGAAAAGTATTTTATGAAAAAATATTTTATTATAGTGTTTTGGAAAGCTCTCGAGATGTGCTACAAGAATATACAATAAAAAATGATGGTTCTATTAAAAAAAATTCATGTTGACCTTGACTTGACCTTAGTAATGCCCCCTATCCAAAATCCGTTCTTTCCACCTTCTTTCC